CTCCTCCTCCTCCTCCTCCCCCTCCACCTCATTTTCCCTCTCCTCCTCTTCCTCCTCTTCTTTCACCTCTGTCTTCCCCTCTACCTCCTCTTATTGTTGATATTATTTTAAAATTAAGATGTATGTTACAGGCATAGATATATTTAATACAAATGTACATGTATATTACAATGTCAAATCAGTGGGAAGCAAAAATCTCTTCGGTATGTACGTGTCTTGATATTATCTGTTTTATACACAAAGTACGATATAAATTGTACCAGCAAAAAAAAAAAAATGGCCGAGAAATCAGTTTCTTATGTACATCTTTCGCTATACATGTATATGCGTGTTCGCTATGTGCGTGCTACACTGTATAACGATACATATTGTATATTATGGTAATGATATACATTTGTGTGAGACACAAATACGTCTGATTCGCTCTTTGCCTGGTCGTCACCTTGTAGGTTAACACTTTAAAGACGCATCAGACAGATTTGTCCGACCAAAAGCAATTCAAATTCAATGTTGTGGCACATTCCAAGCCCACATACACAAACCACAAATACAACATTTGACATTTCATATTAGATCTAATATAAATGTTGCCTGCTTTCAAAATTTCTGAAAAAGAAAACAGAATTTAATAAAAATCTGTATGGATATAACGAAGTTAAACTTTTCCAAGCATTTGAAAGGGCAGGATTGGCGTCTTTAATGAGTTAAGTCGAAATTGTTTAAGACGACCACACATTATCGCGGAGAAAAGTGGCTGTCTCAGAGGGGTGTTTTGACAGGTCGCTAATTTAGAATTTAAAAGTTCTATCTAACATTTTTAGACGCTTGGAGTTACGAAGACCACGAGGTCAGAAATCAAATGTGAGGCAGCGTAGTGGAATCAGGCTCTCGTCAATTTTGGGGCATGTTGAGTTATTGGTATCATCTTAAAGCTTGTTCACTTGTCTTTATTTGGTTGAAAAAAATACCCATTTATCTTGAATAAAAGTCGAGATATTTGTGAAGGAAGAATGTGGGGGTCACCTCTTTTCAGAGGTAAAATTAGTGAGAAAATGGCCGCCAAAG